AATTTTTCCATACTGGTCATATGCTCCGATCTTTTAATCATACTTGGCTCACTCTGATTCCGAAGGTTCCAACTGTAGAAACTTGTGCTCAGCTGCGACCTATTGGTCTCTGTCAGGTCTTTTACAAGGTGATTGAAAAACTTCTTGCCACTCGCTTGGGGTCGGTTTTGCCGGACGTTGTCTCCACTTTTCAAAATGGGTTTATCAAAGACCGGTCAATCATAGATAATGTTATCATCAGCCAGGAAGTGATGAATTATTTAAAAAATAAACGAAGCGGCCGGGAATGCTTTATGGCCTTGAAGCTTGACATGAAAAAAGCTTACGACCGGATTGAGTGGCCGTATCTTTTTCGAATCATGACTAAGCTTGGCGTTGACGCTCGTTTGATTACACTCTTGAAAAATTGTTTGTCGACAACTTCCATTTCTGTCCTTCTGAATGGTTGCTCATACGGGTATTTCTCTCCGTCGCGTGGGTTGCGTCAGGGTGATCCTCTTTCGCCACTTCTATTTGCAATTTGTACCGAGGGCTTCTCTGCTTTACTATGTCAGGCCGTAGCGTCTCGTGCTCTCAAGTGGATTAGATTTAATCACCATTGTCCAGTGTTATCACATTTGTTCTTTCCCGATGATGCTTATTTGTTCATGCGTGTATCCCCTTCTGATTGTCACACTTTGCTGGATCTTCTCTGTCGCTATGAATTCATGAGTGGCCAACGCGTCAACCTTTCTAAATCGGCCGTGGTTTTCTTGCGGAAAACCCTGTCTATTGAGGCTACAATGTTTGGTAAATTACTTCAGGTGGGCGCTATTGGGTGTGCTGACCGTTATCTGGGTTTACCTACTTTGATCTCCAGGTCTAAGCGGGAAACATTCCGGTATATTGAAGATGCCGTTTCCAAAAAACTTCAAGGTTGGAAACGCCGATGTCTCTCTTTGGCTGGTTTGGAATCTCTCATTAAATCTGTGGTCTCTGCTTTGCCGGTATATGCAATGTCTTGTTTTCATTTGCCCCAAGAATTGTGTCGCAATATCAATCGCTTGATTGCTCGTTTTTGGTGGGGCCAACAAGAAAATGAATGGCGTTAGCCTTGGGTTTCTTGGCGGGGGTTATGTAGGCCCAAATCCGAAGGAGGATTGGGCTTTCGTGATTTTGAGGCCTTCAATCAGGCTTTGTTAGCGAAACAATGTTGGCGCATTCTCTCGGAGCCTGATTCCTTGGTTGCGCGTGTACTCAAAGGACGATACTTCTCCAATACATTCTTCCTTTCCGCGTCCAGGGGTACGAATTCTTCATGGGCTTGGCAATCACTCCTTCATGGTCGATCCTTGCTTGTCCATGGTTTGCGCTGGGAGATTAGTTCTGGACAGTTGGTGGATGCTTTTAGCGATCCTTGGGTACCGTCTTTGCCGAATATTCGCCCTCAATGCTTACCATCAGCTTCCGACTCCACTCGCTATGTGTCATATTTTATCAATTCCAATACCCGATCCTGGGACATGCTCAAATTGCGCATTTATTTTGAATCCAGCTCGGTGAACTCCATTGCTGCTATCCCTCTCCCCCGGGTTTCTAATGCAGATCGTTTACTTTGGCACTTTGATTCTCATGGGGTGTTTTCGGTTAAGTCGGCTTATCAATTGGCGATTTCTTTGTCTCCCAGCCAGCCTAGGGTTGCTCCTTCAAAGATTACTGCCTCTTCTTTAGATCCAGCTATTTTACCCAAATTATGGAAGTTTCATATCACTCATAAGCTGTGATTTTTCATATGGCGGATCCTACTTCGCATTCTGCCGGTTCGTGAGGATCTCCAACTACGTGGTGTGGATTTGATCAATTTGTGTCCTGTGTGTGACTCAGAGGAGGGTGAATCTCTCGAACATTTATTTCTCCTTTGTCCGGTGGCGATCTCTCTTCGGCAGTCTGTTGGTCTCAAGTTGCCGCTTAATTTCGCGCCTGAATTCCATTTCTCCCTTCTTTGGCGAACTCTTTTTCGAGACGGTGATGCCACTCTCATTACGAAATGGATCTTGTTCTGTTGGAGAGTTTGGAAAGGTTGTAATAACGTCGTCTTCCTCCCGCATGCTCAGTATACTATTCCCGTCCTCCATCGCCAGTTTCTTGCTCATCAAGCGGATATACAGATGGCTTCTTCGGCGGATATCTACCCTCTTCATAATGCCCGCCCTGCTCAGCTTCTCCTTCCTCGTCAGTGCCCTACGCCTATTTCGGCCCAAGGAGTTCGCTTTGCGGTTGATGGTGCAACCAATTCTCCTCATGTTGGATCTTTGGGAATCGTTGGCTATTGTGACTCAAGGCCTTGCTTTGCTTTTGGGTGTAATTTTCCAGGGATAGCCGATCCTTTCTTGGTGGAATTACTCGCGTTTCGTGAGGCTCTGTATTTGCTGCACCATTGACGATGGTTCTCGATTCCTATTCTCATCTCTGGTGATTCACAATTAGTTGTGACTCGCTTGAATGATTGATCCACTAGCGACGTCAATGGGGGTGCTATTTTGAGGGAGATATACCACCTTCTCCGCTTTTTCCTTGCTGTTAAATTTATTTTTACGCCTCGAGAAGCGAATCGGGCAGCCCATTTGGTGGCACGTAATGCCTTACGTTATCTTGGCCTATCCACTACTTTACATGATTTTTCTTATCTGTTATGTCTTTGAGTCCTTGTGAGGTGTTGCCGTAATTTTTGTGGCCTCCCTCACCTGTTACCTATGTTATCCGCAAAGATTGCTGGACAAAAAAAAAAAAAAAAGCTTCCCTCTTGCCATCAATACTGCTGGTCACCTATGACTCGTTGAGATTGGTCTGCCACCTAGGTAAGGAGAATAGCGTGTCGCTCGCCTCGGAGGCCAGGAAAGGGCGGTTGGCCACCGCCACTCTCGCGAGAGAGCTAGGCCACTTAGATCCAAAGCACAGCGAAATCATTTAATGTTTGATGTTAAACGGGTTAATATAAGATATCAAAATCATTTGAAATTAATCAATATGTTACAAAATAAATTTTTATGGTAAAGTGCGGATTCAAGATTGAGTTATGGATCCGTTTTGATGCCGGAGTTCCAACTCTAACCCAAAAGCTTTTCACTAAGGGGTCGCTTGGAAGTTGCGATTGTTTTGTTGAGATTGTCATTATGCATGTATTGTTTATAATGCATCGTTTTTTTGTTTTTTAACAGAAACAATACATGGATTGTTTATGTTATGTGACAGAAACTATCACTCATTTTGAGTGATTGTTATATCTCAACTTTTAGTTGTGATTGTTGAGATAGTTGAGTTGAGATTGTTTTGTCTCAGCTTTTAGCTGATGCGACATACACAATCACACATACCAAACGTTGTATTCTACAATGCATCAAATTCGACAATACATGTATAATATTATACATGCATTCTCAACAATACATCTAATTAACAATCGCGACTTCCAAACGAACCCTAAGTTTGGAATTAATCCTCATATTATTTTGATTGTCTAGATAAAAAAATAATAATAATAAAAGCCGCTTATATTTAATGCAGACAAATGAGGCATTGCCATTAATTTGGGACGGGTTAATTAAATTGACACCGGACGGTTGGAATCATAACAAAACAACTTGTCACTGTACAGCCAGCAAAAACGAGAGGCTATCGAATGGAATTGGATTGGAACGCCGGCGGGGAAAATATTCCATATAGAACTGAGCCATGTCTGCAAACCGACAAAAGGTGCGTCGAACTACGACGTCCCATGATTTGACTGCGTTTGCTCTTTATGGAAGGACGGTTATTATGGAATGCTAGCCGAAGCGGTCGGCCGCCGGCTGTGTCAGTGTGTGTGTATATATACTATGTGTGTTTGATGGAACCAACGTAGATGGGAGAAAATTGTCCGCCTTAATTAGGAGAGAAAGGAAGCAACCGCCGATGGTTAAGAATTAGTCGACGGGCCACAACAGTACTGTAAAGAGAAGTGGATTTTGGGTCGATCGATCGGGTCCGCGGCTGGGGATTAGCTGGCGTACGGCGAAAAGCATATAAAGAAAGTCGGGCCAGTAACATCGCCGATTATATGAGCTGAGGAACTGCGATCCATCAGAAACGTTTCTCGCAGTCTTTTGTGATCAAACGATCGACAAGCAAAAAAAACTGATACGGTAAGGGAATCGCTTATTGTGTGAGTGAATTCTGCTACAAGTAATTATGAGTAGTATATATGCCAGAAATTAAGTTCTATTATTTCATGTTCTTAAATTTTAGTATTTTCTCCCAGTTAATCTCAGGCTTGTTATGGAAAGGAAAAAGTTTTTTTGTCCCACAAAAATCATTTTTCTCACGTACCAAAGTTATATTTTCACCCAATTTTACCGGTTGGATAGACAAATTCATTTATATTCACACACAAAGCATCTTTTTTAATGCGGTTTAAAAGAGTGCATGAAAAATTAAATGATCAATAAATGCGATTGCATAAAAATATACTTTTTTTCGTGAAGATAAATAATCTATGTGAATAATTAATAAAAAGTTGCAATAATATAGTTAATGTGAGTAAATATGAGAAAAACGTCGTTATAATTCTAAATAGTAAAAGAATTCTTTGTTCCGTCTTTGGACCGGCCAAACCTTATCTTTTACTGAAAACTACGATATATTATAGAGTCACATTGTTTTGGTAGAAACGATGGATAGACATTCCTAATTTATATGCATATTTATTTGTATGTCCTAATCATACATATATCGTTAATATATATATAGCTACCTAATTCAACGTTTCTAAAAATTCAATTTGGATTCCCCTTGTCTTAGTGAACTACATCTCCAGCTAATCGAATATATCTTTCGTTCTAAATCTAAACCCGCCCTGGAAAGAAATATGAAAGTAAAGAAAGATTACAGCTAATTGGAGAATTAATTGTTGTAATTAACACTGCGTTAATCATAAACACTGGGATTTTCTCCATCGATCCAGCTAGCAACAAAGTGAAGAAGAAATGGAAGCAATCAAGAAGCTGAAGCCTCCCAAAACGCCGCCAAAGGAAGTGGAAGCCATAACCAAAAACGTAGAGGTGAAGAAGAACGAGTTCTGGGGGTGGTGCGTATTGGCGTCCTTCCTCGCGCTCCTCGTCATCTCCTGCGGCGTCTACACTCTGGTCAAGCTCTTCCCCAACTTCCTGCCCCACAACAAACCGGGCCCGAACCGGCCCGGCCCAATCGCGAGGAACTACGCCGACGCGCTGGGAATCGCGTTCCAGTTCTTCGACGTGCAGAGGTCCGGGAAGCTGGTGAACAACAGGATATCGTGGAGGGGAGACTCGGCCCTGCGCGATGGGAGCGACCGCAACTTGGACTTGTCGAAAGGGCTGTACGATGCCGGAGACAACGTGAAGTTTGGGTTTCCGATGGCGTTTACGGCGACTCTCCTGTCGTGGGCGATTCTCGAGTACGGCGAGAGAATGGCCGCCGTGGAGCAGCTAGGGCAAGCTCAGGATTCTCTCAAGTGGATCACTGATTTCCTCATCAACGCCCATCCTTCGCCCAACGAGCTCTATGTTCAGGTACAATCCGTATGAAATATCTTTCCAATTTTTTAGAGTTATTGTAACAAAATAGTTCTTGATAGTTGGTATGATGTAAGGGTTTTTGTGCTACAAATTTATGTGTTCTGATTTTACTGGGATCTCAAATACAAATGTTTAATTAATGTACAAAGTCATACTTGAAGGGTTTTAAACATGTTCATACAATGCTTTGAAGTAAGTAATTTTAAACTTTTTATGTGCTATAGCAGGTTTCACAAGTAGTATTGCGCGTAAAACACAATAGTCATTGTGTAAGGGTCACGTAACGTATGCTTACCTTACACAACAGTTGTAAAGGTCATTACCGAAGCTTTGTGTAATGGACGATAATTTGGCGTAATGAATAATATAGAAGGTTTCACAAGTAGCATTGCGTAAAACAAAATAATCATTACACAATGGTCACGTAACGTATGCTTATTTTACGTAACCGTTGTAAAGGTTATCACGGAAGCTTTACGGAATGAACGATCATTTGATTTAATGAATGCTAACCTAACGTTACGTAAAGTGCTAAGTCATTACGGAAGTCTTACGCAATGCTTCTAATTTAACTGTTTCATAAGAAACAACTGTGATCCCATAATCTATACGTAATGTATGTGTATTTTACGTCACATTTCTAAAAGATCAATTAGTGATGACCTGCATTGCCGGGGTGGTTGCAGGGCAGACACTTACAAAGCGGACTCCCCATTCATTAGATAGAGAAGATACCACTGTTTTGATAATCAACAGTTTAAATCGATTTTAGTATATTTTAATGGTTAATTTATGTCCAAATCAAATTAATACTCAATGGTATTATACATATGCATGGTTTGTTATGTAAAGGTAGGCGATCCAGATCTGGACCACGAGTGCTGGGAAAGGCCAGAGGGCATGTCGGAGAGGCGGCCGGCAGCTCAAGTGAACGCCTCCTTCCCAGGTTCCGACGTCGCGGCGGAGGTAGCTGCTGCCATGGCTTCGGCTTCTCTTGTGTTCAAGAAGATAGACCCCGACTACTCCTTTACGCTGCGGACGAATGCAGAAGAGCTCTTCGCTTTTGCGGACCTTTACAGGGGTGCTTACAGTGTGAGCATTCCTCAAGTGAAGAAGTTCTACAATTCCACAGGATACGGAGACGAACTTCTTTGGGCAGCCAGTTGGCTTTACTATGCTACCAGAGACCCATCTTACCTCAAATATTTGACCGTCATCAATGGAGACGTCTTTGGTAACTGGGGAGATCCCAGCTGGTTTAGTTGGGATGATAAGCATGCCGGAACTCAGGTAATTTAGAAAGCTCATGACCTACAACTTAAAAAAAAAAAAATCATCTAAGAGTCGTTTCAAGAACGTGAATAAGAGTTTGGTCCAATGCTATTTTGAACCTGCAGACCTAAGATTTGAATCACTTAACTAACACCGAATTATTTTAAAAAAAAAAACCAAACTATATATCACGAAACTATATCATTAATTATATAAAATAAATGCTAGTGGTTTAAATTTAAAACTTAAAGACTGAAGTCTAGCTAGTTCTAATAAAATCTGTCATTGGCGCTAGTGCTGAAAGTTTGGCCCTAGATTTTCAAAGACATGGTCTGACCCCATCTTCAAAGGGTTGGACTGGTTAGTTTGTCTACGAGGATAGTTTAGTGTTGGGCTATCTTTTGGTCTTGTAAAGGTAGGGTTCGATGAGTTTTTTGTTCCTGTGATCCATAACATTAATTAGCGATATGAAATTACTCATTCGAACATATTATTGGACCTGTTTGTAAAGTTTAAATACTTTAGGTACTATATAATGCAAGAATAAAATTATAGAGATACTGAAATGCTGTTTGCTACCAAAATTTCTAGACATGTTTGTAAATAAAAGTTTAGGTACTAATTAAAACATATGTAAAAATAAATTTGGGTACCAAAAATTAATTTCCAAAAAAAGTTTGTTAAATTGACCGGCTGATTCGACCAGGTCCAATCCGACCAAGGCGGGTGTGAGAGTCAAATGAAAATAGGGCCGGACCGGCCATCTTTGTACCTAACTCTTTAGATATTAAGAGGTAGTTTTAGAGTCAGAGCTAGGTTTGTCCTAATCTCACAATTTTATTTTTTTTGGTTTACCTAATTTCACACCTCATTGGTGCGCCTTATTATGTGATGTAGGAAACCTATTTTTAGGGTTCCAACGATTGTGTTGGGAAATTGGGAATTGGTAGAGATTTAGGGATTTAGAAGATAATTAGGGATTAGGAACAGAATTGGGGAAGAACAGAAGGGAATCGGCCTAGGCCTTTAGAGGGATTGAGATCGAGAATTGGGAAGATAGGGAGATTAGGGTTTAGGAGATTCTTTGATAATTCTTTCTTGACTGATTCTCAATTAAACGCAAAGTACATATTTATAACGAAAGACTGGAAAAACCTAATACTAAACCTAATTCTGCTGAAAGACTACTAACCATATCTAATAAAACCTAATAATAACAATAATGATAATTATGGTAGAAACCCATTTTCTTAAGGAAAACGTGTTTCTAACATCCCCTCCCCCTTGAGACCAACCTTGCCCTCAAGGTTGACCGATTTGACCCATTTCTTCAAGCCTACCGTGCAATCCACGTCTTGCCTCCATTTCTTGCGCTTTCTTTTCTTCCAATTATGTTCTACTACTCGATCGTATCTCACGCCAACAACTCCCATTCCAATGACTTCTTCTTCGACAACTCCAACTTCCTTCAACTCTTCTCGCTCCACGTGACACATGTCATGTTCTCCAAAGCCGAACAATTCTTCCTTTTCTTTTTCGAAATCCACGAAATAAGAATCGGAGAATTGTTCTTCTTCTTGCTCTAGCTTGAGGCCTTCAAGGATATGCTCCCTAAATTCGTGTATGGTGGTGTGGACGAATTCAAACTTTCCCCACTCTTCTTTTCCTCCACTTTTGGATCGGCCCACATGAATTTGGAAGAAAGTAGTTTGGCCCAAATTAATTTGAAGCTCTTGTGCACTCCACCTCCTTAGTATCTTGACTGGGCCTTGCTTATTGAAAAGCCAACTTGCGAAGCCCACCTTGTTTTCTACTTTCTTTAAGTTCCCTGTATGCAAAATAAATCCAAGAAGACAACTCATATGAGGTCTAATATTTCCTTGCGGCCCAGCTCGAATTCTCAGCTCAAGGCTTTCATCCGAACTCAAGCCCATTGATTTCTCTTCCGTTGCAGCAAGACCGAACGAGGGCCCACAACCTTCTTCTCGGCCCAAAACTATTTGGCCCGTCGTCCATTTTGGCTCAGGGCTTGGCCCAGTAGGGTGAGCTGCTACCCACGGCCTAATTCTGATTTGCTGTTGCTGTCGTTCGTGGGAGGGAAGGAGACGCAGCTGAAGACCGCCGCCTTCCTCTCTGTTCGCCCTCCGATCTATTGCGCCTGCCCACGACGCCGTGTTCCTCTCCGTCCCATTTTCCGGCGGACTTACTCCGGCGACCTTCATCGTCTCCATTTCCGGCGACAAGCAAGGCAGCAAGCGGCGGGGACACGAGCTCGACTCAGAGCTCCGTTTCTCCGACCTCACCATGCAACTAACCGTCGCATTCCTTCTCGCCATCACGAATGGACCAGATGGAACCCGTCGCTCCAATTGGTCGCTTCGCCGCTCTGACAGTCCAGATCGATGACTTGACGGCGTCTCCTGTTTGACTAGACCTTCTACGTCGGCGTGGAGCTTCGCCGCCACCGAGCAGAGTTCTGGACTACTCCACGCCTGGATCTTAGTCGTCAAGGGCGAAGGTGGAGCTCTGCTCGTGGCTCCCTGTTCGTCGACAATCAGGACCGATTGGCACGGCTCTGCTTCGTCGCGATCTCTTGATTTCTCGAAATCAAACCCGTCTGCGGAACTTGGATTCTTCTTCTTGAATTTCCACCCGTCAATTGAGCGGTTCCTTTGCTCTGGCGTTGACCTTTGCTCCACATCTTCTGCTCGAGAGTCTTCTATAGAGGCGGCTGCTGCTACCACTTCGAGGACCGGGAAGGATGCGACAGCCTCGTTATTCTTCTTCTTCTTGAGCGAGCTAGTGGCAACTTCAACGGTAGCAGACGATGGTGGTTGTGATTGAGTCGCGACAGCTGTTGGTGGTATTCCATCGGGCTCGGCTCGCCCTGTAACTCGCTCCGCTTTCGTTGGAATTTCAACATCGGCAGCACTGAATGGATTTTGTGTTTCGGTGATCGATGTTGATCCCCAGTTTGGCATAGAGGCCATCGGCGATGATGATAGAACGACAACCATGGCGACGGCGGCCGTTCCAACCGCCTGAAGCTTCGACTGCTCTGCTGGCTCCTCGCAGTCTGTTTCGGTCGGCTTTGGCGACTGCATCCGTCCTGCTGTACCGGTGATCACATTATCCTCTTTCTCCCTCTCGCGCCGCAGAGCTTCAGGACTCAAGCGGTCACTGGTCTGCTGCAGTTGCTCTTGCAGCCGAGTCCACGTCAGCTCTGGTCGCTGCTCGCCAGCCTCCGCGTCGCGCTCGGCTAACTGCAGTGGTAGTTCTCCGTCAGTCTCCTTGGGCATCATCTCCTCCTGCGCGGGCGGTAGCTCCTCGGGGATCCAACGACGTCCGATGCGACGGGCCCGTTCCCGCAGTTCCGCCCATGACAGGTCCGAGAGCCTTGAAGAGTTCATCGTCGAACCAGTTGTAGAACTCGTCCCCGGTTGAGAGTTGTGAAAAACTCAATTCTCGAAACCGGGCTCTGATACCAGATGTAGGAAACCTATTTTTAGGGTTCCAACGATTGTGTTGGGAAATTAGGGATTTAGAAGATAATTAGGGATTAGGAACAGAATTGGGGAAGAACAGAAGGGAATCGGCCTAGGCCTTTAGAGGGATTGAGATCGAGAATTGGGAAGATAGGGAGATTAGGGTTTAGGAGATTCTTTGATAATTCTTTCTTGACTGATTCTCAATTAAACGCAAAGTACATATTTATAACGAAAGACTGGAAAAACCTAATACTAAACCTAATTCTGCTGAAAGACTACTAACCATATCTAATAAAACCTAATAATAACAATAATGATAATTATGGTAGAAACCCATTTTCTTAAGGAAAACGTGTTTCTAACATGTGATGAGCTCGATCATTACTTAGTATTATATGTGTAATTAGCTGATTTTGGTTATGCAATATATAAATGCAGGTTTTACTTGCTAGGATGAACTTTCTGGGAGAAAAAGATGGAATATCACCCGACGAAAATGCTAAGCTACAAATGTACACAAGAATGGCACAAGCCACAATGTGCACTCTCCTCCCGGGTTCACCTTCGGCCACTTCCAGCAGAACCGCAGGCGGCCTCATATGGGTCTCAGAATGGAACGCCTTGCAGTACTCGTTGGCTGCTACGTTTCTCGCTGTTCTCTATAGCGACTACATGGCAACTTCCCAAGTCCAAACTCTCTTCTGTGACGGCACGACGTTCAGCTCGAAGGATCTTCGCCACTTCGCCATCACACAAGTACGAAACTAAAGAGGCTCTTTCTTTGCACTTGAAGTTTGTACTTCTCATTGAAACACTAACACACAATATTGTTTTGATTATACAGGCGGATTACGTGTTGGGCAAGAATCCGATGGAGATGAGCTACCTTGTTGGCTACGGAATGGATTACCCTCGCTACATCCATCACAGGGGGTCGTCGATACCGGTTGACTCGAGAACCAATTGCAGGGAGGGATTCAAGTGGTATGATTCTCCCGACCCGAACCCGAATATCCCTACCGGTGCAGTGGTCGGTGGCCCGTTCATGAACGAGACCTACGTTGATAACAGAACAAACCATAGGCAAGCCGAGCCGACGACTTACAATTCTGCGTTCATCGTTGGCCTCCTCTCCGGCTTGCTTACCACTGCCTCAGTTCCTCAGTCTTTTGGGTAGGTACCAAATTGAAGCTCGAAAATTGTAATGCAGGATGTAAAATAGAGAGCTCAAGACATAGCTCCTAGCCAAACAACAGTTGTTTAACATATCGGTTAGACTTATTACATGCTAATTTGCATTCCTAGCTAGGAGAATATTGTACTCTATAGGTTTTGCTTGTACGGATGTCGTTATAGATTTGAATAATATTGTAGCTAGAATTAAGGATGGCAATGGCTAGACCGTAATTGGACCCAATTGTTAAGATTCATTTAGGTATTGAGTTGGATCCAAATGAACTCATATGTAATTTTAATATTTTTGGGTATGGGTATGGATTTGGGTTGGGTCCAATTTGGGTCGATCCCAAATGAGTCTATTTGGCTCTATATAATTATACATGCGAAAAGTAATATCGATCATCTAACTATTAGCTTAACACCAATTCACACCTTCAATGTTGGTGTTTTCACATTTATGTTTGTTTTAGAATAATTAAAAAATCAAAAATTACATTAGAATTGGATATTTATTTTATTTTGAGTAGCTAATGTAATGGGTCTAATTTAGATCCAAACTAAAATTTTGTGTAAAGAAAATTGGTGAGATAGGAAATATTTATAGGTAATAATAAAGGAATTTATGTTGATAATAAAAAATGAAGTTATAATAGGTCTAATAATTTATTAACCTATTGTGTAAATACTAAATAGTAACTTACCTTGTGTAATGTACATTGGTGAATGTGATCAAAACTTTAGTTAATAGTAAAAGAATTTTTGCTCAAACTTATATTATGTACGATTTACGTAATATGTTTGTAACGATTATATAACCGTATTACCTAAATCTTTCTTAATATAATGTTTGTTACAAATTTCATAAATTTTAGTATCAGCAATACCTAAATTAGAAAACCCCTCACCTATACAAAGTCAAATCCAAGAAAAAATATAAAATAAAATATATCTATAAGAAGGTGAGTGGTGTGGAGATTAGCAACTTAAATGATAATACCTCATATTATGTAAAATTATCAAAGTGAAAACATGGAATCGGATGGAAATGTAGAAGAAGATGGAAAGGAGGAAGAAGTAGAAGAAGCATATCAGACACACTTGCAGGTGAGGAATCCGAATCCGCAACAGAGAAGGACTAAGTTCATTCTCGGGTCCAATAAGAGAGGTGAACCCTGTTGAGTTCTTTATGAAAATGCCGCCGTTGAGCTTAGCATAGAGAACGGTATCTTTGTCTGAGTGAGTGACAAGTGCCGCTCTTTCATTTGTAAATAGTTTCTTTGTCCTGTAGCTTAGCTGTTAGAAGTTTAAATAGCTGGATAGGAATTTTGTACAAAGTAGCTCTTTCTTTTGATCTCCAGAGCAATACAAAAATTACGATAGAGCCTTTCGGCCATCATTCCCAAACCCTACTTTGTTTCATAAACATTCTTATGGTATCAGAGCGCGGGTTACGATCCCGATCCTAAAATTTCTATTTCTAAGCTTGTTTCTATCATTGTTTCACCATGGGGGAGGAAGAAATTGTTGATGGTGAAGCTGTTGCTCAACCTTGACCAGGCATAGACAACCACAGTCCTTTCTATGTGAACCCTAATGAAAATCTCAGTCAGGGAATCATTTCGGCGAAGCTAGATGGGACAAACTATCATCTATGGAGCAGATCAATGAAGATTACACTTAAAACAAAGAGGAAGCTAGGCTTCATCGATGGGTCAATCCCAACTCCAGAAATCACAGATCAAGAATATGAGATATGGGATCAGAGCAACACAAACGTGATTGCTTGGATTTTGAACTCAATGACTAGTGAGATATCAGTGACAGTCATTAACAATAAGACCGCCTCAGATATATGGAAAGACCTTCAAGAAAGGTACGGAGAGACAAACTCAGTTCTTATGGCTCATCTCAGAGCTCCAATCTCCACTTTCAAACAAGGGAAGTCTACTATTACTGATTACTATAATCGATAAAGTTTGTTGTGTACTTAATACATTTCGTTCAAACCTATTCCTGCTTGTATATGTGGAGAGATTGCTCTTACCTTTACATGTGACATATGCCAAAGTGAAGCAGTATCATGAGATGGATAATGTTATTGATTTCATCATAGAATTGAATGATGATTTTGAGATGGCTAAAAACCAGTTATTACTTTTAGAGCCACCACCTAAACTTAAGGTTGCATATAAACTTGTTTTGAAGCTTGAGAGACAGAATGAATACTAGTAGTAAAGAGAACAAGGGTGTAGATTCTGTTGCTTTTGCTGGTTTTGGCCAACAGAGAGATGGTAAAGGAAAGCCAAATTCAGGAAGTGGAAGCACAGATGGGAACAAAGAAGAATTGGTTTGCCGATACTACAAAAGGACTGTACATCTGCTGAAAGATTGCTATAAACTGAAGAACAAAAAAAAAATGATAGAGAGAAAGAAAGGTCCGAGAAAGGAAGCAGCTATGATCAAGAATCCAGATATAATGGCAGCTTTGCTGGTTCTGCCTATGAGTCAGGGGGAAGCATTTCAGGGACAGTGAGCTGAGGGCATTTCTAAGCCTATAAGTGGAATGACTACACTCAACATATCTACTGAAGAATGTTCCAGGTTAATGCAAGTATGCAACTATTGCAGCAGGAGGCAAGAAGTTCTAGAGGCAGTCCATCACCACCAACATAATCATCCATCAATCATCAAGCACACTCAGTCTCCAGATACTTGCCTAAAGGAGCCAACCATGATGGTAAGATTATTCTCTCATCCTATGCTCAATATTATGATGAAGAAGTAGAGAATGTCTGGATTGTTGATACTGGGGCGTCTGACCATATGTGTTGCTCACTTACAAGTTTTTCTCACTACAAACCGGTAACAAATGTGTCAGTGTCAATACCTAATGGCACTATGGTACCATTTTCTCATATAGGGAATGTCACTACCACATTTGGTCTAAACTTCATCAAGTTTTACACATTCCATGTTTTTCTTTCAACTTGGTTTCAGTTAGTAAACTCACTAAAGACCTTACTGTGCCTTTGCTGTTTCAATCCAACTTTTGCATTATCCAGAACCTTCTCACTCAGAGGAAGATTGGTTTTGCAAGAGAAATTAGAGGATTGTACCATCTAGAGGAGCCCAATGCCAGTAAGCCAACTAGTTCTATAATGGCTTCTGTTTTTAACTTCTAACCTGAAGAAATTTATTTGTGGCATTGCAGATTAGATTAGGACATATTTCCAATTCTAGAACAAAACTTCTACAAAATTGTAATCCTGATATACCATTTAGTTAAGTATCTCATTGTGAATCTTGTCATTTCTCTAGACACAAAAGGGCACCCTTTTTCTTTGAGTTCCAGTAGTAGTAAGGAGTGATTTGATTTGATTCACACTTGGGGTCCCCTTAGTGTTGCATCTTATAATGGTTTTTCTTTCTTTCTTACCATTGTGGATGATTACTCAAGAGCTGTTTGGGTTTATTTAATAAAGCATAAATCTGAACTAAGAGTTTTATTGCAAAGCTTATATACCATGATAGAGAATCAGTTCAACTAAAGAATCAAAGTGATAAGAAGTGACCAGGGTAAGGAGTTTCATATGAATGTTTTTTTACAATGAGAAAGGAATCATACATCAGATGTCTTGAGTTGAAAGACAAGAAAAAAATGGGAGACTTGATATGAAACACATAGGACATCCTAAACATTGCTATATCTCTAAGGTTTTAGTCCAATTTACCTGTGAGATTTTGGAGTGACTGTATACTCTATGCAGTTCATATTTTAAATAGGCTACCTACTCTAGTCTTGGATAACCAGACCCCATTTGAGAGACTTTACAATGAGAAACCAAATTACTCATTCTTAAAGGTTTTGGGGTGTTTGTGCTATGCATCTAGTCTAGAGCAAGGTAGAACAAAGTTTCAAAGTAGAGCCATTCGGGGTGTTTTTCTAGGAATGGTAAATGGTATTAAAGGATACAAAGTCTATGATCTACATTCTCGAAAGGTTTTTATCTCAAGAGATGTAACCTTTTATGAAACTATTTTCCCTTTTAAAGAGTCTGACTCTACTGCCACAGAGTCTCTTCCTTCAGATAATCAGGACATATTTGTCTCATGTCTTGATGATATCCCAAGATCAATCAATCATCATAATCCAGACACTCACAATATTAATTCTGATAATGATAATGCATGAGAACTCTATACATGCAGACATTACATTTGAGCAGATGAATGATATAGAAGAAGGGTATGAAGTCCCTATTATTGAAGAAGTAGTTATGCCTGAAGAAAATGAAAATAATGATGGTGTGAATGATCGAGGATTAAGGAGGTCCAATAGAGTTCCACAAATACCTAAGCACTTATCAGATTATTATTTAGGTTGTGCTAAAGCCAAATATCCTATGAATGAGCAACTCAATTGTGAGAATCTGTCTAGAACACATAGACATTTTGTTTTGGTTGTCACTAACATGATTGGACCAAAGACGTTTCATGAAGCAGTAAAGGATGCATGTTGGAACAATGTAATCAAAGCAGAATTAAAAGCATTGATGGATAATGAAACGTGGGACATTGTTAATAAGCCACTGGACAAGGTTCCAATTGGATGCAAATGGGTCTTCAAGATCAAACTACATTCAGATGGAACCATAGAAAGATATAAGGCAAGGTTGGTTGCCAAAGGTTTTGCACAGATCTATGGTTTGGACTTCTTGGACACCTTTTCTCCAGTTGTCAAGATGAATACTATCAAGACCTTATTAGCAGTTGCTGCTACAAAAGGATGGCATCTTGAAAAACTGTGCATTATGTTACACCTATACACTTGGGGAAATTTTCCAAATTCCACCGTAATATCGATGAGGACTAAAATTGTGAACTCTAGGTTTAAACGGTATCGAGTTTCGAAATAAACGAGAAATTTACGGACGTTAACTGGGTTTCGGATTATACTCACCCATAATTGTGAAGCTCCAAAAATACCCTTGGACTAAT